CACGTCACAGTATTTATGGGTTTTTGTTCTTCGTGCTGGCGTGTCACTGACTGCCAGCGCGCTGCATCTCAAGGCTTGGCGATTTGTTGTCATGGCGGCAACGGTTCCTCCTCATTCTTTGTCGGGTGTGAGAAGGGGAGCGAAATTCAATAAGCAGGGCCACGGACGAGGCGTCAGGCCAGAGACGGCAGCAGTCGAACCCAAACCCAGCGGGAACACAGACGGGCATAGACAGGAATCGGGAACCGACGAAACCAAGGGCCAACCGGCGACGAACACAAACCTAGGAGACCGCCTTCTGGGTCCGAACACAGACAGACGCCAGCCCCTGGGGAGAGCGCCAGACAGTGACAGGACCCCCCAGCCCGACGTCAACACCAGCATGACAACCACCATCAACACAGTTACGGACAGGTATGAACGGGGCAGCGAGGCGGGAACCCACGACAGTGACAGGCACCCCCAGCCCGACGTCAACACTAGCATGGTAACCACCGTCCACACGGGTACGGACGTGTGCGAACAGGGCAGGAAGGCGAGATGCGCGGAGGGCAGACAACGGACAATGCAAACAAGAGCAATGGCCGCGGTCGCCCTGATGCCGCTCCCCTTCTCACACCCGACAAAGAATGAGGAGGAACCGTTGCCGCCATGACAACAAATCGCCAAGCCTTGAGATGCAGCGCGCTGGCAGTCAGTGACACGCCAGCACGAAGAACAAAAACCCATAAATACTGTGACGTGCAGTACGCAAACCACCTCCGATGATGGAAGCTTGTTTGCTTTCGAAACGTCAGGCAAATATACCTATGGTTCCTGCGATCGCCTTATCTTCTCATATATATATATATATATATATATATATAGAAGGAAATGGGAAGGCGATCGCTGGGACCAATTGTTTATTTATCCGACGTTTCGAACTCTCACGCGAGCCCATCGTCAAGGAATGAAAAAAAATTGTACAACTCATCGTGTATTTAGCTCACCTCTGCCGGGGGTGACCTCTAGCTGCGCTGCTGATTTGCTCTCGCAATGCTTGATAGGCGATTGGCAGATCGATATGTTGATTAATCGAGTCCTCGGTTGACTGCCATGCTTCCTGCAGCAGGCGAGCAACTCGGTCGTCCGACTGGCCCAATATTCTCACGCACTTAAAGTCGAAGCCGTGTCCTGGCGTGAAGGCGTGGGCGGCTACCAAGGAGAGTTTGTCCTTCCGTCTCACAGCCAACTCGTGTTCGTGCAATCTCGTGCGTACTCGTTTGCCGGTTTCGCCAGCATAATTGGCTTGACCACAACTGCAGTCTACCTGGTAAATGACCTCCGATTTCTGGTTGATGGGAATCGGGTCCTTAGGGTGCATGAGTTGCCGGCGTATTGTTGCCTCAGGTCTGTAAGCGACACCAATCCCAAATTCGCTCATCAGTCTAGCGAATTCTTCTGACACACCGGCTATGTACGGCACTGCGCGCCCACATTTCGGTTTTGGTTGTCCCTTCGGTTGTCTTCCCCGGGTTTCTCGCCTGCACTTTTCGACAAAATTCCCCGGGTAGCCGTTCGCTGTGAAGAGTTTTCTCAGGAACTGGACCTCAGCCTTCTTGTCGGCTGGCTCGGTGCAATGGGTTTCTACGCGCCAGTAGTGTTCTCACGCAGCTGCGTTTGTGCGAGAGAGGGTGGTTGCTAAGAAAGCTTAGAATACGGGAGGTATTCGTTGCCTTCCGGTAAACCGTTGTCTTCAATGCACCATTACCTTTTCTCTGAACTAGTACGTCCAGAAACGGCAACTGGCAATCTTTTTCTTCCTCCATCGTGAACTGGATGTCTGGGAAGATCGAGTTGAGGTGCTGCGTGAATTCCCCAATCTTGTCCCGATTGATGATGACAAATGTGTCATCGACATACCGTACCCACAGTCGTGGTCGATAGTGGTCGAAAGCCAGTGCCTCGAGTCGCTGTAACACTGCCTCAGCAATCAAGCTGGATAACGGTGACCTCATGGGCGTACCTTTAACTTGTTCGTACACAGCTCCGTTGAAGGTGAAGAAAGTCTTCAAGCAGTGCTTCAGGAGATCAATAAGGTGTTTTATCTTCAGTTTCTTGTCCGTTTCGTCATATTGTTCTTCCAACAAGGTTTGCAGGGTTTCAACCGCCAGATGCTGTGGGATGAAGTGAAAAGTGATATCACGTCGGACGACCGAGTTGCTCGCCTGCTGCAGGAAGCATGGCAGTCAACCGAGGACTCGATTAATCAACATATCGATCTGCCAATCGCCTATCAAGCACTGCGAGAGCAAATCAGCAGCGCAGTTAGAGGTCACCCCCGGCAGAGGTGAGCTAAATACACGATCAGTTGTACAATTTTTTTCATTCCTTGACGATGGGCTCGCGTGAGAGTTCGAAACGTCGGATAAATAAACAATTGGTCCCAGCGATCGCCTTCCCATCTTCTTCTATTCAATTAACTGGGTCGCGCGTGTTCTCTATCATTCAGAATATATATATATATATATATATATGAGAAGGTACCGACAAAGACAAGGGAGACCGGAATGGCCATTTCTGGCTTATTAGCCGTCATCAGCCAGTCATACCCAACCCCAAGTGTGGACCACTTGAGATTCGAACCCGGGATCTTTGGTCATGGAGTTTGACGCTCTACCATTGAGCCACGGGCCCGTTGTCCTGTCGGTTGTGATCGGAAATATTAAATATGACAGTGGGTGCTCACCGATCAGGTTACGGAACGTGCTTGTTCCGTTATGCCTTGGGGCTCATACTAGAACCCTCGCAGGCAGTCGCACAGCGACTAGTAATAGATATAGATGAGATGGTACCGACAAAGATAAGGGAGACCGGAATGGCCATTTCTGGCTTATTAGCCGTCATCAGCCACTCATACCCATCTTCTAACAATGACATCATCTTATTATTGTAGTCCGTTCTGTTCAAAATTGCGACTGAGCCCCCCTTGTCTGCAGGGAGAATGATAATATTTTTGTCAGTTCGTAGACTCTTTAACGCACTCTTTTCTTCGTGTGATA